GCCTTTTTGACAGCTGACCAATGACAAGCGAGTAGCGAGACCTGTTATTTCCATAATAACATGAACAAGAAAAAATGGAGAAGGTGCCGGTAGATAAACTGATCGTACTAGTTTCGGAGTTATGTGATATGAGCACAAAATATTTAGTATAATAATAATGTTTTAATGTTTAGTCTAAAATATGCCGCAAACCGTGCATCATCCAACCGGAGCTCCTGGACTAAATTGTTGTAAGCACCATACTGGTTCCTTCCCCGTATAATGTCGTGCACCCCCAAACGTTGTTGTAAACCGACATTCTCTTCCCCGTTAACTTCAAAAGCCAACGCAAGAGCCAATTTCCTCTTTCTCAACATTTTTGCACCACACAGCGCTAGGCTACTGTTGCAGCTGATGCTATAGCAACAAAAGACGCCCTTGTCAACTTTTTCTTGTCAAAGAAGACACCAAGTGTGAACATAGCCTAAGAGGCCCAACTCCTGCTGCAGAAAGCATCCCCCAAAGCATGACACTTCCTCCTCCACCTTTCACTGACTTTACACACTCGGGGTTCAGTCTTTCCCCAGTTTGATGCCGAACATAATGTTTCTCAGACCCAAGTAAATTAAACTTGCTCTCATCACTAAAGTGAACTTTGGACCAGTTCTCCTCTATCCACACAACATGCTCCTCAGCAAAGGTTAGTCTAGCCTTTTGATTCTTTCTGCTTATGAGAGGCTTAGTCACTGCAGAGTGCGCTTTCAGTCCGATTTCTCTTAAACGTGCCGAGACAGATCCTTACCCTGTTCATTGCTGAACTGGCGAGCAATTCCAGCTGCAGTGTTGAACCAATTCCCCATTGAGAGTCTCCGCATTATCCTGTCTTCTCGTGCATTTGTCTTATGTGGACGACCAGCCTTTTTGGGTGACTTGAATGAATTAGTGTCACTGTAAAGCTGCAATATTCAAGAAATCACAAATTTAGAACGACCAACTTCTCGTGCAGTGGCTGAAAGGGTCATCCTTTCACCTTCATCTGGACAACCTGCTGTTGCAGGGTTTCAGTCCCCTTAGAGCTGCCCGCCATCTTGCAATCTCAGTGAAAATTAGAGGAATGCTGCCAGTTAAATAGGGTTTGTCATATAATTAAGGAAATTAGCACCAGGTACCAGATTAACACCAATAACTTGGAGGTATCTGTAAGGGTTCTCTAATTTTGATCAGAGTTGTTTTTCAAATATTTCATTTAAGTTTTTTATACTGTGCTTCAGCATACAATTAATTTATGAAATATGCTTAAAAAGCTGCCCTACTACTCCTGTTAGGATAAGTTAAAATAGGACTAAGCAGTGACCTTGAAATTTAGGAAATTGTAGGTTGTTCTCTAATTTTGATCTACACTTGTATATACATGTAAATATTTCTTAAATATATTATTGTATAAATAAAATGTTTTGCAGCCAAGTTATACAGAACATAATAGAATTCAGTCATTTTTCTCATTAATCATGAGAAAAAATATAAAGCGGAAAAAATACTGGACATTTTTCACAACAGTTTTTAAGTAAAAACATTTTAACAATTAACTGCTAATAATGTAGGCTCATGCTTTTTCTCACTAATGAATTACAATTCATTAAATGATGAATTAATATTAATAGCACACCAGAATTATTATAGACTGTGTTTCTATTCATTTGCTCAAGATATGATCTTTTTTTATTCACTATTTTAGGTTCTTGGGTTTTATTGTATCATTGAGAATTGCTTGTTTGTGATTGGTTGCCAGTGTCTATTTCTGCATCTCCCAACCCATCCGGAAGATGGGAAAACCTGGCAGGATGCTCAATCCATCTGCTCATCCTATCAGGGATCTCTGGTGTCCATAGAGGACGAAATTGAACAAGGTAAATATCACATCTTCATTATATTAGAGTTTCTGATGTTGTTTTGTATTGACATTTTTGTGGTTTTTGCCTTTTGATTGAAGCTTACATCGTCATGCTGCTTAATGGCTGGTCAGCGGGGCTTTGGATTGGTGCACGGGGTCGTTTTTCCTCTAAATGGAGCAATGGGAAGCCACTCAGCTATAATAACTGGGAGGTATAAAGACTCAGGATTTAATATATTTGAAATGTAATTTGATTTCAACACTATTTTAAAATGTTTTTCTGTGTGTATGTCTGCAGATGTCTAATTATAGATCTCCTGAAGAACCTCATTGTACTTACCTGTCCAACAGTCACAACTTCCGGGTGACAGGGCTATGGCAGGATGACGTCTGTACTGAGAGCGTCTATGGCTTTGTCTGCCAGAAGCCGCAAGGTAAGCTGATTTTAACAATATTAGAAATGTTTTTAATTCATTGGCATTGACCGATATTTAATTGCGGATATACATTTCCTCTTATTTTTACATTTATATTGCCTTTGTCTTTATCTATCACTCACAAATTTACTGACAGTTTACTCAGGGCATCCAAGATGTAGATGAGGTTGTTTCTTCATCTGAACATTTGGATAAATTAAGCATTACATGAGTTGCTCACCAATGGATCCTCTGCAGTGAATGGGTGCCGTCAGAATGCTGACAAAAACATCACAATGATCCACAAGTAATCCACAGAACTCTAGTCCATAAATGAACATACAAAGCATACAATGCATCTTTTCACTTCACAAGATGTTAATTGATGGACTAGAGTCGTGTGGATTATTTATGGATTATTGTGATGTTTTTATCAGCTGTTTGGACTCTCATTCTGATGGCACCCATTCACCGCAGAGGATCCACTGGTGAGCAAATGATGTAATGCTACATTTCTCCAAACCTGTTCTGATGAAGAAACAAACTCTTCTACATCTTTGAAGGCCTGAGGGTGGGTACATTTTCAATTTTCATTTTTGGAGGAATGATTCCTTTAAGGCAAAACCATTTTTTTTTCCCAAATGGTCAATTTTTAGATTTTAAGCTATTTTGTTTCCATAACATACACTGAACAAAATTATAAACGCAACACTTTTGTTTTTGCCCCCATTTTTCATGAACTGAACTCAAAGATCTAAGACTTTTTCTATGTACACAAAAGGCCTATTTCTCTCAAATATTGTTCACAAATCTGTCTAAATCTGTGTTAGTGAGCACTTCTCCTTTGCCGAGATAATCCATCCACCTCACAGGTGTGGCATATCAAGATGCTGATTAGACAGCATGATTATTGCACAGGTGTGCCTTAGGCTGGCCACAATAAAAGGCCACTCTAAAATGTGCAGTTTTATCACACAGCACAATGCCACAGATGTCGCAAGTTTTGAGGGAGCGTGCAATTGGCATGCTGACTGCAGGAATGTCCACCAGAGCTGTTGCCCGTGAATTGAATGTTAATTTCTCTACCATAAGCGTTGCGTTTATAATTTTGTTCAGTGTATATTCATATGAGTGATAAGAGATATCCAAAATCCCCGCTGTAAAATCCTTTTAATAGGTCAATATATGACATCAGTATATGTAATCAATCAACTGGGGAAAGTATGGTGATATCTGTTAAATTTATACTCTATTTACAAGTAATGTCTTGCCTTAAAAAACATATAATTTAGTCTTCAGCAAATCTCAAAATAAATATCTATTTTTCATACTGTAAATTATAATGTTGTGATGCTTAAATTCACTTGTAGCATTTGAAAATGATTGATTTTGAGTTTATTTACACAAAATAATATAAAATTTTATTGGTTATTGTCCATAACATGAAAATAATTATCAGCTTTTTATCAGTGTTTAATATCCGTGCATGGCTACTTTATCTCAGACATCACCAAGCGTCCTACACAATCCTATTATACCGCTTCCTCTCTGGACTCATCTGAGTATAAGAACCACAGTTACCGTATCATTCATGGCAATTTGAGCTGGTACCAGGCCCAGAAAACATGTTTGGAGAAGGGGGCGGCACTTGTGAGCATCACAGACCCGTTTCAGCAGGCCTATCTCACTGTGCTGATCAGCAGGCTTGAAGCCCCACACTGGATCGGCTTGTACAGCACAGATGTAAGGAGGCTTTAAAATCACACTGGGATGTATTTTGATGGGTTATATTTGTGTATTAAACAAGAGTGCCCTCTACCTTCATAGGATGGTATCTCTCACCAGTGGTCTGATGGCAGTGAGATTTCCTTCACTTACTGGGAAGTGTCTAATTATTACCCAGAGGGGCCTATGGGAGATGGAGGCTGCATGTCCATGGATGTTAACGGACGCTGGAAAGATGTTGAATGTGACATGTTGTTATCAGGAGCGATATGCTACATGCCTCCTCCGAGTGAGTCCATTGCTCTCTGTCTTTGGATTCATTTTATCAATTGCACATTGTTGAAAACTGACTAATATCGTTGTTTGTCCTCCCACAGAAAGCATTGCTTTCTCCTATGAAGTGGTATGTCCTGAGACCTGGGTGAAGTTTCGTGGGAGCTGCTATTATTTTGAAACAGTTATATTAAAGATGACCCTGGAGGAAGCGAGAAATCACTGTAAAAAGAAGGGTACAGCACTTTAAATTAGTTTGGATCGAGAGCTCCACCTAGTGGTGGCTTTGATCATCTTTGGTTATATTTGTATAATTTAGCAAGATTATTTCCTTTCTCAGGAAATTTTTCAGATGTTCTTACAGTTCAAGATGATGAGGAGAGCCGGTTCTTCCTTAAAGAGATGTCAC